TATATATGTATATATAAATATACATATATATATATATATACATATATATATATATATATATATATATATATTTATATTTATATATATTTATGTATATATATATTTATATGGGGAGAGAGAGAGAGAGAGAGAGAGAGATCAGCAAACCCTTTTCATCTTATGCCCTATGCTATCATCTTGTCCTGTCCCAAAGAAAGGGGACACATTACTTATTGTCTGAAGATGACATCTCCATGTTCTTAAGAATGTAAACAAAAGTTTGCTGCTAATGATCGAAGGAAGGCTGTCGTCTTTACCTTCTCTGTCGATGCCAAACCCTAAGCTATGCTCCCTCGGATCCCAAGACTTTGCCACTGTCGCACGTGTTTCCAGATTCATATTACGTTGGGCCTTTCCCTGCTTCCCTGACGAAAGTACACGAAGCAGTGGAAATGGGAACAGCAACTCCAGTTGCAATGTTCTTCAAGCTAAAATCTAAAGCTAGCAGTGTTAGGTGCAAGCTCCGATGGCCAGCTTTTTCTGTTTCCATTGCACAACCTGTGTTGAGATCATATAGATGAGCGTGAGAACAGAAGGCATCTCGTGGGATGTGAGAGAAACAAGAAGAAAACTCTACCGGCATTAAATAACACATGTTATTGGAACAGCCAACTTGTGCTCTCGCCTAAATAGTCTGACATTTCTTGGTTAGTTCATGTCAAGTTACTTTGTGTTCACTATGAGGAATTTTCTCGGAGGAAACTCAGAACAACCTAAAACACACAGATCATTAACCCCTGCACGCGTCTCTCCCTCTCCTCTCTGTCGACTCTGCTCCTGTTTTTCTCCACCGCTCTGCACGTGATGCCGGTGGTTGGCCTCCCATTCTCCCGTAGTTAATTATCACCGCCATGTCTCTGAGATTGCTGTTGCAAGCGACTGCACCCTTTGTGTGTGTATCCATGGCGTGATTGGATCATGAGGGCAGGGTTTGGTGTTTCGCAGAACATTACATTTAAATGGAGTCGTCGAGTCGGTCAGAACTACAGGCGTCCGGTATGACCACCACTGCTTCTGTCTGCTTTCTTTTGAAGATCTTCCCAATTTATACAATAATACAACCCATGCATTTGGAGACAACCATGTATATGAACTGCACCTTTACAGATATCACCATGGAGATGTATTTATGTATGCAGCTACATGCAAATGTTCATAGTTCATAAATGCAGCATATATACCGATCACATGTCGTAAGGAAAGATATGCAAATGTTCATAGTTCTCAAAGTGAATTTGATGTTCTCATTTAACCATGATGTAATCGAACAATTTGTTCAAATCGAATAGTAAAAAGCTTTGTTATTATATTCAAGTTTTTTGCATGTAATACTGGTTAATATTTAGGTATAATAAGCATGAATCTTTATTGGGAACAAGATAAAGTACAAAGGCTAGGTGGAAAATTTTGGCGGCACTTCAACCAAGAAAAGTTTAATGGGAACAAGATAGTAGTGTGTGACAATATAGTGGAACTGTGGAATGTGGAATTTAAACTTCACTTAAGTCAACAATTCTCAATTGAAAAGTAACCCATAATATCAATTCTATCTTGCAATCAGTCATTATGAGGAACAAGCTGCTTGAAACTTCAGTTATTATAACCTAAATTTCTCTCCTTAGAATAGTGGACAGTAAAGAGAGAGCAAAGTGCAACAAAGAGAGACGATACAAGTTCCTTTAGAAGAAATAAGACTGAAATAGACAATATGACACAGCAACAGAGGGCAAACTGGATAAGAGACGACATATATGCCCTAGAAGCTTTCACTTCAGCGTTCACTGCAAATCTATCTATACATGCATTCTCTACAAGAGCTTTTATGCCACATTAATCAACAAACACAGAGAAAAGGAGTGGTTAAACGGCATGCTCTATATTGAGTTGGCCAACATCAGAAAGAGCTACATCAGTGGTTGCAGAATCTAGCAACCTCTCGCGTTTGAACCACGTATAGTGATGCCATGTATGTATTTGGTGTATCCAATAAAACTTAACTTGTCATCCTCAGGTCTAATCCAGGCTTTCAGAACAGAATAAGAACTTGGAGGAATCTTTAACTCCTACAGACAACAGAACCATTATATTCTAATGGAAAATATAGTCGATCAGATATGAATTTGGAAGTCTATGTGACCATTAGTACCTGGGCCAGTTCCTGAACAGAAATGACTCGGTTACCCTCCCGTTCAAAAAACTCGAAGGCTGTGCTAGCTATCTGTCCCCAGTTATCCAAAGCCTCAAGGTGATAGGGACTGATTGCAGCAGCACAAAATTCCTCAAAGTCCATGGTTCTGTTTGAGAGTGGCTTCATCTGGGTTTTGAATCATAGATTTTTTAGAACGACTATTATTTACAGTAAAAATTTTCCACTAGAAACAATTAAAGAAGCCAAAGAGAGGTTAGATCTCATAACTTTCAAGCTTAATAGTGACTTGAGGACATAACACAGAACCAAGAAGACGAAAAAGGTTTAATGATGTTTTTGCAAAAAAGTAATTTGCCTAGAAAAAATTTATCAGCCTCAAGAATTGGCAGGATGTGCAAAGGCCCTGTCAATCATTTTAAATTTCATAATTCAATGTCCAAAATATGACATCTGTTTCCTTTAAAAAGCTTGAGAAAGAGGAAGTTTTTAGTGTAACACTATTATTTCCGATGCAAAAGATTGTTTCATCTGATACACGTGTTCAAGATACACAGCCTCTAATACATGTCATAAGGACAAATTTCTTTAATGATATCAATAATCATGCTTGATAACTATGAGATACAACAATGAAGAACCTATGAACTGTCAAAAAACGGTATTTACAAGAGATTAGGCTGATACTGTGAAATAGCAGAGGAACATATGACTCACCGAATTCAGAATGTCAAATACCCTGGACTCCCTCATTGCTTCTGTTGCATTTTGCATTAGTGCCTGCCCCAAAAGCACATAGATCATAAAACAAAAACGGCATATATAGCGCATCATAGAAAAAAAAAATAAAACAGAAAAATTGCATTTCTTTCTACCATACACTATTATACTGATATTGCTTAAGAGACAAATACAATTAATTAGACTGACCATCCGAAAGTTTTGAAGGGATACGTGACCATCTTTATTTGGGTCTAACAGCTTGAACTGCAACCTCAGATAGAACAGCTCATCCTCTGTTACAGCTTTGGATAGTGCCTGAAAAAGAGGTACAGAAGTATGAAAAATTTTAAAACAAATTTACAAAAATTGACTAAATTATCAAACTAAGAGGGAGCAACATACATATATAGATACATATAAATGCATATATACAAGTACCTAAAAAATAAATGCTGCGAAAAGATCAAGCAATGAGGTTAAATACATTAAATTACATGATATTAACAGGATAATTATAAAGAGAAACTAGGTCGTGTATATGCAAAAAATGCATAATAGGAGACATAGTGACATGTTTCACCATAAAAATATTTTACCATAGTATGTTAAATACCCCCCCTAATCAGTTCATAACAGGAGTCTGAAAGAGCAACGGTAGATATGTAAAAGAACTTCTTTTCCGATGCATTTATAACAAGTATACAAACAAGCAAAGCAATAACAAAGCTGCCAAATTTCTAGTGCTTGTAAACATCTCCCCTCAAGCAAAGTAATGACAAAGCCACCAAATTTTTAGTGCTTGTAAACATCTACCCTCAATGCAGCTCGTTTGAGAGGTGTGGCACGAAGATATGACTTGATTAACTTGTATATCAGTATGTCCAGAGGAAGTTGCCAACATTTATCTCGCAACCAAGGGTGTGCTGCAACCAGAGAAGCAAATATTAGCTTTCAGAAATTGACTATAGCTGTAAGCATCAACAAACTAGCCCCCAGTCAGATCTCTAGGAATTAGAACTTTGGAAGCTACAAATACAATGAAGAATCGTAGAACTATATACAGAAAGACGTACAAACTCTTCAATAGTGTGTTTAGCAAGGACTGGCAACTTACTCAAAGCTTGTGCAGCTGATATTCTTTTTCTATAATCCTTATTCAAAAGCCTTTTAACAAAATCTTTAGATTCTGAAGACGCATCTGGCCAAGGCGAATCATCAAAGTTGGGATCAGCTGTCAGAACAGCATGAAAAATTCCTGATTCTGTCCGTGCCCAGAAAGGTCTACTACCACACAACAAGATATAGGTTATAACACCAATACTCCAAATATCTGCCTCCATACTGTATGATCTATGTAGGACCTCAGGGGCAACATAGTATGCACTTCCAACAATATCATTAAGTCTTTCATCTGCACAATCAAAAAGAGAAGAATATATGAATGCCAAGCACAATATGATAACACAAGTCAAATAAAAGATTGTGACAAAAAGGATGTCTAAAATAAAAAGAGTCAAGTTCTTCGGAAAAAACATGAACTACAAGTATCAGGTCAGTTAAGGCCATACGATAGTCAAATATTAGAATAAAACAACCAGGTCAATTAGCAAGTCATTCATCATCCTTCACTCCGTCCATCTCCATTTAAGATCATCTTTCAGCCTATTATTGTATTTATTCCCCTCAAAGAAATTCAACAGATGCTCCTGGAATAACCTTTTTCTGATGTATTTATTCATGATGAGATTTGACCTCTTTTTGTCCATGATGGCACGATGGTTAAACTGGGACCTGCAATTTAAATTCTACTGTTCTCTTAAATGTCCTAAAAGACTGTTATTTGTGTTATGGATTTTCCTTCCTTCCATGTAATCTTGGAAGGGATATAGCACATAGTGAAGTAATGAATAACACTAAAGCAACAATAGGTCCATGTAGCTAGCTAATGCGCACCTGGTTTATTAAAATCAGAAAGACCAAAATCAATCAACTTCATGGGATCATTCCAATCTTTAGTGGTGAAAAGAAAATTCTGCTATAAAGTACAAGAGAATTAGGGTCAGTAGCACTGAAGAACATGCTGGAATGAGAAAGTGACAAAAAACTAGAATCAATCCTGCAGGAAATGACTAGTGTGTTGTAATGACAAATAAGTTTACAAGATCGACCTCTGGCTTTAGATCACGATGCACAACACCTTGAAGATGACAAAAGGCAACTACACTCAGTATTTGAACAACAATTTCCTTTGCATCCTCCTCTGTGTACCTTCCACCTCTTGAGAACCGACACACAAAAAATCATGTGTCAATAAAAGAAATTCGAAGTTCTTGTTAATGACTTTGATCAATAAAATGTATATATTTACCTGCGTAGAATTCTATCTAATAATTCTCCACCTTCACATAATCTGGGGAACACAGGAGAAGAGAGAGTAAGGATTGCAATAAAAAAGAACCATGTACAAATCATCATCATCGAGAAGTCTTTTCTTTTTTAAATTACAAAAAAGAGGATTATCATCTATCAATAAGTTATATAAAGTTAGACACAAAATGCATTATGGCCAGTTATTTAAAGGAAAAGTATAAACCAATTGTCGTTTAGGTACTGATATTTGGAGATATATCACTACAATCAAAATAAAAAATGAAAATATAATAAAGAAGACATACTCCATTACTATGTAGACATTAAGTGCATCCTCACATGCATCATAAAATTTGACAAGATTCTTATGCCCAGACAAAGCTTTCAAGATTTTGACCTCCCTACGAACATCTTCAATCGATATTGGTGTTGTCATCTGTCAAAAAAAAAAAAACATCAGTAGACTAACCGCATGCTAATACTAAATAGAAGGATGCAGGGTGTGTGTGTGTGCGTGTGTGATCTTCTTATTATGGCAAGTGCAAATTTCAAATAAACATAGACTTGAAGTAGTCAATACTTGTATCGATCAATTTATGGATGGAAAGCAAGGCCTGTAGTTCTGAAGGAATTATGTCCATATTGAAGAGAAAAAGCATACTCTATGTTGATGCAGAAGATCCTTTAGTTTTTATTTCTGCTAGCTTTGACCATACTTTCGTTCATTAGATGAGGAAGCCAGTCAAACTTGGATGACAAACAGACATCCATTATTTAAATACAAAAAAGTAATATAGTAACAAGTATTTAAACACAAAAAAGATCCTTTAGTTTTTATTTCTCCTAGCTTTGACCATACTTTCGTTCATTAGATGTGGAAGTAAGTCAGTCAAACTTGGATAACAAAAAGACATCCATTATTTAAACACAAAAAAGTTATACAGCAACAAGTAATCCACCAATTTAGTGTTAGTAAAATTGAAGCACAAAAGATGTAACGAACTGCCTGATGGCACTCTCCTTGGAAAATAAAAAAAAAGTGAAATATCTCTCTTTCATAAAATAGTAAACCTCCCACTCCATTTTCCCAATCCTTCAAAAAAATGTAAACCATAAGACCGGCAATTATGGGTTAGCTTTCAGAGGATTATGCAATATTGGTATTACACAAGAAATATAATAAAAGCAATGTCAATAATTTGTCTGCATCAGTTAATATTGAAAATCTCATCTGTGAAAATGCTTAAAACCATATAAGCATGCAATGCCATAAAAAGAAAGCATATTAGTGCCATTTCATATTTAATGAGTCAATAGCAACAGAATGACTCTTCACGTTATTATATCTTCCCTAATAATTATGAGAAAACCAGAGCATCTTAGACCCTCAATAGCTCAATGGCATTTTGTTTCTTGATGATTATCACTAAGCACATAACATTTAGGACACGCAATCAGCGGCGACTCTTTTGCATTCCCAAACCAGAAAGAGAAACTAAGGTCAAGACGGAGCAAAGAACCAGTCAGAAGAACAAGAACATAAAGATGAGAGTTAAAGCACCAAGTCTAATCAACAAGTTATTTTGACTCAGAATTTATCCCGTGGCACTAAGTATATCTTGATTCTCGAATATAATTTCTTAAGCTGGAAGAGGGAGAAAATTTAGAGCCCAAAAAGGAACATTTTGGACATACCACCGCACCTTAGCTTTCGAGATTATCTTGACTGCAACACGCTGGCCCTCGATATCCCCTTTCTTGGCCGTGGCGAAGCACGTGTGCCCAAAATGTCCCCTCCCGACCACCTTCCCCAGCTCATACTTCGCCCCGAGGTTCTTGCCATACCCGAAGTTCTTATCCAGAGACCTCTCCACCTCCTCAGTCCCGTCCTCGGGGATCGGACCCTCCTTTGGCTTCGGCAGGCCCTGGCGCTCCGCGAGGGAGGCTTTTATAGGCTTCGCCGGGGACGGCGGCGGGAAGGGCCGGCGGAAGAATCGCCGCGGAGTGGACCTAGCAGGAGAGGGGGAGACCCCGGTGGGGAGGGGGCTGGCGGAGTCTTGCGGGTACGGGCTGAGCCACGCGATGGCGTCGGTGCCGGTCGAAGAGAAGCTGACGGGCGTGGCGGGGCGGCTCCTGCTCTTGCGGTGTGGGGTCGCGGGTGCGCCGCGAGCCCCGGTTCCACCGTTGTACTCGCGGTGACGACCGTCCTCGGCGAAGGACATGATTTTGCCATGGCACAGCCCCATGGCTCTCGCCCGCTACCGCCGCCGCTCCTCTTCCCCTAATCTCTCCAACTACTATCTCGCTATGGACTCGAGGGTTTGGATGGCGAGAGAGTGAGGACGAAGAGGCAGGCAATCGAGCGAGAACGAGGAGGAGGAGGAGTAGGACGACGACGAGGGGGAAGTTGGTATCATCAGATGGAGTAGACTCGCAACTTCTATTCTTCGAGGGGGGTGATTTGTATCCGATTGTCCTGAGGCCGTTTCCTGGATCTCCTATCACATTAAAAGCAGGAAACACCATATTAATCGGTAAAAGATCCAACAACTGGGCCGTTATTCGACGTACTGTACACGTGGCAAATGACATACGGACGAGTCACACGTGCGGCGAAACGAGGGCGAGCGGGGGATGGAGTCCATGGTCTCCGTTTGGGCGTGCCCAGTCCCGCTATCCGAAGGCGGCGTGTCGCTGTATGAGTTCATTGTAGCGATAAAATAAATAGATAAATACATAAATAAATAAAAAGTTTATTATACACTTTATCGAACAATTTCACATCGATAAAATTATATTTTTATCGAGCTATTTACGTGGCTGAACTGTGGAGGAGAAAGAAAACTAAATTTTCACACGTCTCATGGAAAAGATGAAATATTTAGGGTGAATTTTTTGCCTATATCCCAAAATATCTGATAAACCGAAAGACGTCCGATTTTTGTATTGGACTAATCCATATGATAAATTGATCCATGAGGTGAACAGCTACAATGTTTCTTATTAGGGTTACAATATTTTTTTGTACATCAAAAAAATATTAAGAGCCTATATATAAAAAAAATGCTATATTTAAGTGAAAAATTAAAATGCAATATAAAGTAACAAAAGCAGGTAAAAAAAACTTTGTTCGATATTTTTCTTACAGTTTCTTAAATGGAATTTTTGTCACCTATACAAAAAAAAAATTCACTGAAAATTACAATATTAACTTTAACTTATTATAATATTAAAATTATTTAATAATATATTATTAATTTTAAATTATTATCCATGGTGGAATTTTATATAAGATATTTTTATTAATTTAAAAATAAGAATATGTAAAAAAAATTGACTTATATGTTAGTTATATAATTTTTGGTACCTCCAAATATATATATATATATATATATATATATATATATATATATATATATATATATATATATATATATATATATATATTGTAATTGGACCAATTCGATTGATTCAAAGCAAATAGTTGTTGAATCTCGAATTTTGATGATGAAACTAATTGATAAGTGTTTATGATTTAATCTGCGTTTTGAGTAACACAAGATGCTTCGATCAGGGAGAGACAATTAAAGTGGGAAGAATCATGTTGGGTCGGAGGAAAACATGTCAGAAGATTGGACGTTGGGCTAGAGGATCAGTCGATGTATCGACAGAAGGCTTCGAGCTATGGATTCGAGCATCGAGCCAAGAAGAGCGGATATTACGCCAAGGATATCGGAGTTACAAAGGTCAACTGGCTGATTGGGTAATAGGTCATAAGAGGACGATGCGTCCAAAAATCGTACGAAGCGTCGATGGACCAATGACATGCTGGACGATATAATTCATGCTTAGTAATAATTGTCTAGATCGAAGTATATTTTTATGTGTGCAGGATTAACTATGTTTTTATGTGTGTAGGATTAACTACGATAGCAAGGCATAAAGCAAAATGAATTCTCGGAGAAAAGAACGCGATTTCGTTGGGAGTTTGAGGGTTCGTCGAAAGTCTGAACGTTCGTCGGATGTTCTGCCAGAACCAACCGAGAAGTCCAGGAGCTTGCCAAAGAAGCTCATCGGAACTCGCCAAGAAGATCGTCGTGAAGTCCAGGAGCTTGTCGGGAGTCCGCCGGAACATTGCCAAAAGATCATCGGAAGTTCGTCGGAAAGATCACCGAAAGCTCACCGGAAGAAATCGGATTTATCTTGCTTAGAATATGTATTAGGAATCGTAGTTAGCACATAATTAGAGTTGGGAGTGGGAGGTAATCTTATCAACTCTGTTAGGGGCCAATTGGGCTTGAAGTTGGACTGGTTTGGGTCGGATTCAAGGCCCAACCAAGGTGCTAAAACCTTGGCCGACGGTGTCACTGCCTAGGGAATAGCACCCTAGGATTCCTGGGCGATGGTATCGCCGGTAGCAATGGTGCCAGCGGTGGTACCGCCCCTATTCGGCGGTGGTACCGCCTAGTACCAAATCCTACGATAGTAGTACCATCCAGGAACGACGATGGTACCGCTAGTACCCTAGAAACCTAGGATGAGACTTTTTTAGACTCCAAGTTTGAATCATCTTGAAGCCTATAAATACCCCTCTCATCTCTAGTTAACATACACAAGCATAGAGAATTTAAAAAGGGAAAAATGCTGTAGAAATCTCTTATGAGAATCCTCCTCTAGCCTAAGTGTTAGAATAGTTTGAGAGGAGTGAGTGCTTGTAAAGGTCGACTCCTAAACCTATGAAAAAGGAGAAGAAGGGTGCAAGAAGGAGGTTGATCTTCGCCTATTAAAGGAAGATCGATAGTGGATGCTGGTGGCCTCGACGGAAGAGGAATCGACGAAGTGGATGTAGGTCACGACGACCGAACCACTATAAAATCTGGTTTGCATTTTACTTTGAGTAATTTATCTTTACTGCAAACCATTTTACCTCCTTATTTGCTTTACATTCAATATGCTCTTACTCTGCTTTCAAAGTTAAGCATTTCCAAAATCGATTTTACCATACGAAGAGATTTTTCGGAATCGATTTGAAGACGTATTTTACTATTGCAATAATTCACCCCCCCCCCCCTCTTAGTGCCGACTCGTTCGTAACAGTTGGTATCAGAGCCTCGTTTTTCTCATTTGGTTTAACACCCAAGAGAAATGGCTCTTTTCGGCTTTTAAGAGGGACTTTCTCTCATTTGTCCTCCCTTTTTCAACGGAATGAACTACACTTATTGAAAAACTCGAATGAGAATTTTCTTGCTTTCGATTGATTTAAATTTATGGAATATGGTCAAAAAATATATTT